TTGCACCACTGCTTGTCTCTGACTTTGCGTCTTCTCTGTCTGTAGTTTGTGTTTCGTCGTCTCTGCAGGAATCATCTGGAGCTGCATGTTTCTGATCTGCTGCTGCTCCGACTCGCCTCCAAAGTGGAAGAAATTCAAGGTTTTTGACACTTTTAACGACTAAAATCACATAAAACGTATTAATTTGCATGTTGGCTGTAAAAGAAACCAAACTGTTAATCATGTCCACATCTGAACAAAAGATTTCACGAAAAATATCAGCAAAAATAACTTTATTTTACAGATATTTGCTGTTTTTTGAAATAAAAATCATGTATATTTAAATTGGAAGAACAGGCCAAAAACATCCAGAATGTGTTTTTAACAACAGACGTTCCTTCTTTTATTGTGTTGTGACCTTAAAACTGCAGTTTAACTGTTTAAATCAGCCACAAATCTGATTATTTTCAAGACATTTGCTGTTATTTTCATAGTTTTTCTTTTTGTTTTCTACAGTTCCTGAACATCACAGTACTGAGCTGTTCTTGAACCTTCTTCTGTTCCCTTGCTGCCTGATTTTTCCACTTTTTGTGCAGATTTTCTTCACAGTATCGACCAGAGATCTCCAGCTCCGGTCCTCGTGAGCTGCTGTCCTGCAGGTTTTAGATGTTTCCGTACTGCAGCACATCTGACTCACATTCATGGATCATTCACAGATTGTGTAGAACTTGACAACAAGCTGCTGGAGATCCATTCATGTGAATCAGGTGTGTTGCAGTACGGCGACGTCTAGAACCTGCAGGACGGTAGCTCATTAGGGACCGGAGCTGGAGATCCCTGGTACTGGGGTTGTTCTTCTGTTTTGTCTTTCCCACCCTGTTCTCTCCACCCTCACCTTCACCTTCACCCCGACCAGTCGAGGCAGACGTCGGCCTCCATGAGCCTGCTTCTGTCCTGCTTCTGTTTCTCTTTGCACACTTGAGGTTTTTTTTTTTCAAATAGTCGCCATAAGAACGTTTGTCTGTGAAGATCCTCAGTCATCCAGGTCATGGTTAATCCCTTTAGATTAATTGTAACAACGGTTCGTGCTCCCCCTAACGAGTCGCATAACGAGGGGGAGGAGCAACAAACCCCCAATTAAAACCCAAACGCAGGTGTTAATGTCTCCTTCAGGATATCTGGAACTCCCAACTAGTCAGTCAGAGCTGATGAAGCCTCTTGGATGAAGGTGGAACGTCTTCAAGGAACTCAAGCAGGTCCAGTTGTTATGATTAATCTACAAGCATAAGAACCTTTGGATTTGTTGGGCTTCTCTGTAGTTTTAGTTTTGTAAGGTCTTCACCTGCCATCTAAAAAAAAAACTAAATGAGACTGAATCCTGAAGAACGAGGCGACGTCGATCTGTTGGAAGTTTTATAATTCTGTCTGAACGGACGTCAGGCTGTGAGTGACGCCGATCGCTGGTGACGGTGCAGCATTTCTACACCTTCATAAAAGATTAATGTACGTTTGCATGTATCTACAGTCTGTATGGATGGATGAGGTTCAGCAGTAAGGTAGAGAAGACTGGTTCACTGCTGCTCTCTGCTGGTTTCAACACAGAATCACTGATCTGCTGAACTCTGAGCAGGTTCTGGGTGTTTTAGTCTCATGTTCCTTCACCGTGGTTCATGTTTCTCTGCAGCTCCGTGGAACCAGAACAACGTGAAGGAGGAGAACTCAGAGACGTCTTCTGTGCACAACGACGGAAATCAAAGGAAAAAGGTTCTTTTTTTATTTTACAAAATAAAATGCAGTTAATAGATGTAGATATTTAACTTGTTCTTAATTTGTTTGTACACTCGTCTCCTCTGTTGAAACACAGCCGGCAGCTCAGCCCAGAAATGGTTTAATATTTACATTTGGTGCATAAAATAGCAATTTCTCTGAGGTTTTGTACCGAAGGGATAAATAAAGTTTTATTCTGTTCTATTCTATAAAAGAACAGCTAAACCAGAGAGGAGGAGGAACTCTGAAACCACAGCAGTCCTACATATTGTCCACTTGTAGTTGCTGCAAATCTGAAGGCTAACGATTTCCATTTGCTTCCAGTGTTTGTGCTAAGCTAGGCTAACTCTCCGAGGAGTGATGGAGTTTTTTAATATTTCTGCAGGATTCTCTGGTGAACTCTGCGGTCAGACGGCAGCTTCCTGCAGGGCGGAGGTCGTCGGCTGCCCGGTGTCCTCCTGCTGCTCTTCATCGCCGTCCACCTGTCGTCTGCAGCAGGACGTCATCTTCCTCACCGTCCGTCTGAACGGCGAGCAGAGGCAGAAGAAGAGCAGCGGGTCGAAGCAGACGTGGAGCACGCTCAGCAGCAGCGTGGCCTCCTTTGCCAGGAACAGCTGCTTCACGGTGCTGCAGTCGTTGATCACTTTGGTCTGCGCCAGAGTGTACGGAGTCCGAACCACGTGGTACGGCACGAAGCTCAGCACGTAGGCCGCCGCCACCGCCGTCACGCTCGCCGCCGCCCGCCGGGCGTCCGACCACAGCTTCGGGTCGCTGCGGCTGCGCAGGAGGCGTTTGAGGGCGAGGCTGCTGGAGATGAGGACGGCAGCGGAGGCGTTCAGGAACAGCGCCGTGCAGAGGAAGACGGCCAGAGCGTGCCAGTGGAGGCCGATGTCCTGCTTCAAGGACGCACACTTGAGATACTGCTGCACCTGGACGGACAGACGGACATCGGAGTGAACTACAGAGTAACTGAAACTCAGAGTAACTGAGTCCAAGTGTGTCAGAAAATTCTGAAAAATGTTCATCAATGTTTCCCAAAGTCAAAGATGGAAAAAAGTCTCGTTTTGTCAGAAGATATTCAGCTTATGAGAACATACTCCGTTTTAACCAACTGAAATCAGAGTTTAGACTGTTTTAATCAAAACGTTACTGAAACAAGACTCAGATAGATCAACATGATGATTCATCTAATAGCTGGTGACTAACTGACTCGTTGTTGCACCTTCAGCTGATGGTGGTCTACTGTTTGGATGTGTTGGACCTACCTAGAGGCCGTGGTGCTTACGGCACTGATTTGGCCGACAGGTCACGTAGACAAAATGGTGTTTACACAGTGCCGTAGAAACAAGGGTCACCCAAAGAAACGCTACGACTGCATCAAAGACGACCACAAGCACGGTGATGTTCCTGCAGTCCACCTTAAACCCCCTCCAGGGCCCCTACTGCCTCTTTCAGCCCGCGTTAGCCACCAAACCAAGAAGACGGTACAACAACTGACTTCATGGGACACACCAGGTCTACTGGTGTTTGTGGTTTTTGGTTGTTTGGTGGTTCCGTTCCGTACCTGGACCTGCTTGGTGGGCAGAGCCATGTTGGGCACCATGATGAGCAGCAGCAGCAGCCAGACGACCACCGACAGCAGACGGGCGAAGCCGACTTCATGCAGCCGCAGAGACCGGAGAGACTGACAGTCCTGCAGGAGAACACACCGTCAGGACCGCAGACACCGAACAACATCCACACGTTTGAAAGACCAGCTCCAGCGTACCTGCATGTAGCGGTCGGTGATGATGAAGGCGAGGAAGGCGATGGAGGCGTACAGGCTGATGTAGATGGTGACGGCGCTGGCCTGGCAGTGGAACACCCTGAGGCTCCACGGCCCCCCGAGGTCACTCAGGATCTTAAAGGGCAGCGCGAACAGCAGCAGCAGGTCGGCAGCCAGCAGGTTCACCAGGTAGATCCTGCTGCTCTGCTGCTGCACCAACACAACGATGGGACGGAAAACACAAAGAGCCAATCAGCAAACAGACTCCTGCACTAGCATGGGACCAGCGTAAAGCCTTCCCTGTGTCCTACATACTAAGTCCTGCACCACAAGTTTGAAAATGGCAGCTACTGGCCTAAGGATGCTAGTGACTAGCATAGAAATGTTGGCCAAGGGATGCTAGTGGCTAGAATGCAGCTGACTAGAATAGGAATGCTAATGGCTAGCCTTGAAATGCTAGTGACTACTCCAAGGATGCTATTGATTAGCGAAAGAATATGGGTGACTAGCATGGTGACTGACGTTGGATAGTCAGTGACTAGCGTAGGAATGCTAATGACTATCCTAGGACTGTTGCTAGTGTGGGAATGCTAGTGACTAGAATGCTAATGGTTAGCCTTAGGAGGTGGTTAGTGCTGTAAGATTGCTAGTGACTAGAATGCTAACAGATAGCCTTAGGAGGTGGTTAGTGCTATAAGAATGCTAGTGACTGAAATGCTAGTGGGTAGCCTTAGAGAGGTGGTTAGTGCTATAAGAATGCTAGTGACTGAAATGCTAGTGGGTAGCCTTAGAGAGGTGGTTAGTGCTATAAGAATGCTAGTGACTGAAATGCTAGTGGGTAGCCTTAGAGAGGTGGTTAGTGCTGTAAAAATGCTAATGACAAGCACAGGGATGTCATGACTAGTGTATGAATGCTGGTGACTACCTTTGAAATTCTTGTCACTGATGGTGGGAATTCCAGTGACTAGTTGACGAGTGTAGGAGTGTTAGTTTCTGTCAGAAGTTTGTAAGTGAATAGCTAAAAAAAAACCTGACATTTGGAAACACATGCTGTTAAAACAGAACTCAGCAGAAAGGGAAGAGTTTGATGAAAACAGCGTCCAGCACGGCGGTGGAGTCATCATGACAGACCTGACAAACTCTGAGCTGCTGAGTCATCTTTAGTGTCATTACTTTTGGAAATCAGGTCATTCTTTACTGCTCAGTGTGACCAAAACAGTTTGACCCAGTTCTCATGAACCTTTATCTAATACGTAATGTAACAGAAGCTGCTCCAGATGGAGACCTGTGACGCTAGAAACAGGTCGAAAGCTGTGAGCTGATTCTGAAAATCCAACACTGAGTCACGGAGTGAAAGAACAAAAACACAGAAACATCCCCGACCTCAGTTAATGTCACTCTGCTTCTCCTTCTGCTAACTCGAGCTAGCTTTCTGTGTTTCTACGTCACTCTGACCACAGAGCTTTCCGCCTCCGGCTTCCTCCGCTCGCTTCGCCTCACGTCATCCGTCTGCTCTCAGTTTGTATCATAAAATCCTACAGTGATCATAAACTGTGCTGGAAGTTTCCCCTTTTGCTGCTTTTCAACGTGGTCAGTTTATAGTAAATTAAAAGACTCTCTGATGTCGAAGTGAAACCAGATTTCTACTAAGTGATGTTTGCGCTCTACCTTGTCCGTGGGGCTGCAGGTGAAGGCCCACAGCGACATCAGGCTTCCAGGCAGACCGGCGATGAAGATGAGGATGTAGAGGACGATGAAGGGGCCCATCTGGTCGTTGATGATGCATTGCTCCGCCCCCTCGGCTCCCGCGGCGCTGACGTTGGAGGAAGCAGGCATCGTGGGAAGCTGGACAACAAAAGAAGTTTCATTCACAGCAAAGGATTTGCATGAAACCACATTAAGCGAAGAAGAAGAAGAAGAAGCTTCAACGGTGAAGGAAGCGAAACCCGACGAGCTGCAGGTGGATCACAGCTCAGATCAGAGCAGCTACGGGTTTTCACTTCTTCTAGAAGTGGGCGGGGCTTTGCTGGGATTTCTACACCAATCAGGATTCAGCTCCGTTTGAATGCAGATTAGACGTCTCAGCTTGTCTCAGGTGAGTCTGAACAAGTGCACTCAAGAACAAACATCCAACACGTCCGAGGCGACTTTAGCAGAAAATAAAAGCAGAAACATGAAACTGAAAACTTGATTTTAGCCGATAAACAACAGAAATATTCACCTTTCAGCCCTCGAGCCTGCAGAACGAGTCTGTTCTTGGATGGTTTACTCCGAGAGGCTCTGATTTAGAAAAAATAATCCACAATCGGTTTGTGACTTCATTCACTCACTAATTTCAGATAATTTCAATGAATTGAAGCACGAAACCAAAGAAAACAAGCTTTCAGGGACGATTTAAAACAAGTGTCTGGTGAGTTTTTGCAGGTTTTTTTAGTCAAGTTTGCTGCAGAAATGGCAAAAATTGATGTCTGGGTTTTGTAGTGAGACTCGAGGTAACTTAAAATCTATAAATCTGAATGAATAATTTAGGTCTGAGGTTTGTGTTGCTGAATAAAATGTAAAATATCAGAGAAATGTTTAGAGGAGGTTCTGTTTATTCCACGTTTTAAAGCTTCCAGTCTGCAGAACAGATGCAGCCTCACATGTGCCTGATATTCACACAAACACGAGCAGAACTAGTTTAAAGTCCTGTCACGTGTCGTATTTTAGCACATTTTTAATATAAAAACCTTCTAAAAAAATGATTAAAACTTTTTTTTTAGCTCTAGCAACAGAATTTTCTCTTTAAAATAACAAATGTTTGTAAAATAATAAACTCCTGATTAATTGTGATCAAATTCTGTCATTTTGCAGCCAAGAAATGTAGAAACACGGATGTTTTGTGTGGATATTTGACATTATTTTAACAAATTAATTAACAAAACATTAAATATTGGTAATTTACTTTTCAACAGAAGCAGCTGCACTCGAGAATTTCATCGTTTGTTTCCTGCTGGATGATTAAAAATGCACGTCAAGCGTAAACGTGAAAGATAAAAGAGTTACACACGTGAATAACTGCAAAACGTACGTCCAATATGCATCCAGAACCAGCATGCGTCTGCAGAGAAACTTACTAAATTCGTCCGTTTGCAGCGTCTGTATTTTCGTATAACGTCGAGAGCACACACATCAGCGTGTTTCAGCAGAGGAGGTGACAGACGTGGATGTGCAGAATGTCATGTAAAGCCTGTGGTCGCGCAGAAAGCCGTCTGCAGCAGGAAGCTAAATAAGGAGACTTTCTCTCGGTTCAGACTCGAACTGAGCGGCTCGAGTCAACCGACGCGGTTAAAACGAGTGGATGATGTTTCTGTGTTCAGGGAGACGCGAAATGAACAAAAGTAGATGCAAAAGGACCAAAAAGACACAAAATCAGATGCAAGATTCACACAAAGAGTCACAAAACAGCTGCAAAGGGACAAAATCGTGACACATGATGTGATGGAAGCAGACGGAGCTTTTCAGGATGCATCCAGAAAAAACACGAATGGATGCAAAACTACTGCAAAGAGACACAAAACGACAAAATACAGCAACACAAGCAGAAAGAAAGAACTAAAAACATGCAAATCAGCACAAAAAAACCTGCAAAAGGACAAAATGATGACACACAAGACACCCAGAGAAGGAAGGCAGCTTTAAGAAAGAGACGCAAAATTAAATGTAATTGATGCAGAAGGACCACAAATAGACAAAAATACTGCAAAGAGACAGAAAGAGGTGGAACTTTGGACAAAAAAGACGCAAAATTAAAACACAACAACCAAAAAGAGTCACTGAAAGACACGAAACAAACACTAAATGCAAAAGAGACGGAAACACCGGAGACACTAAACGAACACAGTGACACACAAATCAACCACAGAGATGCAAAATGAGCACAAATATAAAATGTCTGCAAATAGACACAAAAAAACAACCCTCACAGGCACGCAAACACACCACAATCAGCACAAATAGTCACAAAACTACTTTAATGACACGTGAGATGACGCCAAAGAATTATCTCGTCTATCACTACGAGATACGACAACACAGCGAGATGAAAGGGACCGACAAGAGAAAAAACAGAAGCTGAATACACACAAAATAACTGCAAAAGCACAAAATGACAACATGCGACACGACGACATTCAAAAAGAAAACAAATTTAACAAAAAATAGACACAAAACTGCGTCGAGATGCAACACAAAGTGAACACAAAACAACCAAATGGACACAAAGTGAGACAGGCAAACACAAAACACCTCCGAAGACACACAAATAGACACAAAACTACGACAAATGTGACACACAACAGCACAGCGAGATGCAAAACAACCAGAAGGACGAGAAAACTTTGAAACGGAGACACAAGATTAACACAAAACTGCCTCAACGGGACGAAATGCACGACAAAATGAACGAAAAAGACCTGCAAAGACCTGCAAAGGTACAAAATGATGAAACTACGAGATGAAAAATTACCAGAAAGATGAGAAACTGTTACAAAAGAGGCACAAAATGAACAAAAAATAGACACAAAACAACCGCAAAAGGACAAAAAGACGCCATGAGACACAACAAAATGCAAAACAAAGGAAAAAGATGCACAAATTTAAAAAATAGACACTAAACAACTACAAGGAGACCTAAAATGATGACACACAACAGCACAGCCAGATGCAAACAGCTAGAAGGACGAGAAACTTTTGGAACAGAGACGCAAGATTAACACAAACAGACACAAAACTACCTCAACGGGATGAAATACACGACAAATGAACAAAAAATAGACACAAAACAACCGGGAAGGGACAAAAAGACGTCATGAGACACGACGAAATGCAAAACGAAGGAAAAAGATGCACAAAATTTTAAAAAATAGGCACCGAACTACTGCAGAGAGACATAAAAAGAGACGCTACGACACAAATAAACACACAGAGACACAAAACAACAACAAACAGTGACGCAAAATGAACCAAAAAGAACCACAACGGTGCAAAATGAGCAGAAATAGAAGTAAAACTGCAAAATATGAGACACAACAGGATTAGAAATGATCACAAATTGAAGATGAATCCACTGAAATGCGTCCAGATAGTCGGTGGACGTGCAGAGATTCACCGTCGTATCAACAGGCAGCTGCTCTTCTCAGGATGAAGCCACCTGAGCACAGAGGAGGCCTCACACGCTAATAACCACAACGTGCTGCTGCTCATTCCTGTTTTCAGCGTTTCACACAAAACCCACAGCAGTCGGTTTGAATGTCACCAGCTGCAGAAATCACCTGAAGGCAGCTGAGTGTTCTGACATCGGCTCGTTAATCTTTAATCTCACAGTTTGACCTTCTTTAAAAAGCAAACGTTATCAGGGAAGAAACAGGAAACAGAGAAGTTCTACAGAACAGGAACAAACCGCTCGATCTGATCGATATCTGCCACGACGGAGGGAACTGCAGCTCCCAGCATGCATTTCAGCAAGAAGCATCCAGTTAGTAGACAGGACAGCAAAACGACATCATGAAACGACAACACAAAGAAGATGCAGGAGCTTCAGTGAGACGCAGAACAGCTGCAAATGGACAAAAAGACGATAAACGACAACAAAACACAAACTGAACTCCTGACAAACAGACACAAAGTGAACAAAGCAGAAACGAAACAACTAAAAACGGATCCAAAAGACGCACAAACGGACACAAAACCACTACAAAGGAACTACGAGACATGACACACAATGACAAAATATCTGCAAAATACACACCAACAGACGTAGCATGACAACATAAAGGAGGACACGCTGAGACGCAAAACAACCGGAAATAAAAGAACCGTTATGGAAAAGAGACACAAAACAACAAAACGAGACAAATAGGTTCAGAACGACAACAAAGAGATGCAAAATGACCACAAACAGACACAAAACTAGTGAAAAGAGACACGAAACCACTAGAAAGAGAAACAAAATGCACACAAAATGTACCTGAGTTTATGTAAAATGACCAGAAAGAGCCAAAACTTCTGAATAAGAAACACAAAAAGACCCAAAACATGGACGCAAACCGACTAAACAAAGACGTAGAATGATGACAAACATATAAACGGACCTCAAAGAGACAAAACCA